AACCGCGGCAGCATTGGTTGATGAGTAGTGTTGGACAGGTTAATAATGAGATGTACTCGACGGTATATACTGCGGTAAGTCAGCAAACTGTGCTCATACATGACCGCCGCTGATCGATGTCATAGCCGCCTGAGTCGACGGGTGAAAGCACCGCTACAGCTGGCACAACAGGCTCCGACTCAACAGCCGCAACCGCCACTGCCGACTCAAACAGCGACCCCAGCAACACCAGCAGCGAGAGCAATGACAGTGATACTAGCAGCAGTGGTCTCTCAGCCGGCGCAGTCGCTGGCATATCCGTCGGCGTCACGCTAGGCGTTGTCGCACTCGCACTAGCAGCATTCTTCTTCTGGCGCCGAAACAAGCGCAAGTACCAAGTCGCCGGTACGGGCTCACCAGACTCTCCCGGAAAGCCCGACAATTCCCCCATGGCTGTGTCGCCTAATCCCGCGTACAGCTCTGTTTATTCAGCTGAGAAGAACAGTGCTTCGCCGGCGGCTGAGATGATGCATGAGCAGAGACCTGTTGAGCTGTCGACTGGCCAGCATCAGAGACATGAGCTCGCATAGATGGGAGTAACATTCACCTGTACATATAGTAATAATGCATTTCAGCGATGTGCATGATACCAACACTGTATAATACATAATTAATCACGTTCAATTGACTACCTGGACCAAAAGCCCTCAGCGAATAATTAAATGCAGGAAATAAAAATGAAACTGAGCTTGCGACAATATGCGGAAAGTGCAAAAGAAAGGTCTCGGAGGGAGTCGAACCCTCGCTGGCGGAATCAGAATCCGCAGTCATAACCGTTAGACCACGAAACCATTAAAGGTATGACCTTGATTGCTGGAAACAGAAAACTCAATTGCTACCTAAGTCTGCTACCCTACACAAACGCGTCTTGGCTCCACAACGCCAGGCGGATGCTTCCGTTGCCCAGTTTTGTTCAACAGTCAATTAGTTAGATCTCGATTTGCTCGTCATGAGACATCAGGCCATTATAGCACTTGAAAGCTGATAGTAATAGTGTATCAGGATCTGCAATATTATTATGCTTATGGTAGGCACTTTTCAAGAAGCACTGCCCTTGAGAACAACATTCTCTGATAATGTGTGAGCGTGATGTGAGCCATCAGCTGTGGGGTCTATCAATTCAAAACAACACTCTTATCCTCTAACAACGGTGATTATGCACCTAAACTGGGGGTAGGATGGGTCGATTCCTTGAAAATGATAAAAACATCGTAGATATCTCAAACTTAATAGAGTCACGCAAGTCTGCCGATAGATGCCAGAATATGATGCCACTTTGCATGCACTGAGAGTCTGGATAAAGTATCTGATAAATACCAATAGAGGTTCTGTTGCTTAGAAAACTATTTTAAGAACACAGTTTATTTATCATAAAGCATTAAGTGACGTAGAATGTTATTCCATAAGATTGAAGCTTATCAAGTGCTACTAGAACCTGGACTTCTATTTGATTAGATCGATCAGCGTGACGGACTTTCGTTAGATGCTTCAGATAAATAACTTCTTGACAGTTTTGTAAGCCCTATTAGATAACCACTTATCGCTTTCAATGCTTCTTTTCCACCAGAAAGCCTTGTTGGTTCTGTGAGATTAGGGTCACATATTGCGTATAGTACCTATTTCAGTCAGCTCTACCAGACGCAGAGGCAGGGGTGAACTGCACAAGAGCGTCATTGTACACTGAGCATCAGAGTAATAACGAGTTGAAATATCATCAATTTCATAAGAGCTACCAGGAACATCCATAAATGGGAATCCTAATTGGCGCCTTTTGTATAATTCCAAAGCTCTTGTTAGCTATCTGCCTTGCCCAACTAACGGACACCCAAACACTGTTACCTCCCTATGTCTCTCCACGACTCACCATCTCTATTTAGATATAAGTCTTGAGAAGAGAGTTGTAGTACGTGTAAGCAGTGCCACTGGGAGGCTCAAAGCTGTACATGTAGTCACCCCACCAAGGACCAGCGGCCCACCAGGTAACACCCTTCCAAACATCAGAGTTCTCCTTGAGGTAGTCCATCATGTTCTTGACAGCAGTCTTGCAGGTGTCGTTAGGGCCACCGGCGAATTCACCGATCATGGCGACCTTCTTGTTCTTCCTCAACCACTCGGTCGCAGCCTTGAGGCGCTCAACTCCAATAGTGGTGGAGACACAGTTAGGTGAAGTGCCGGAGCTGTCAGAGTCAAGGTACTGATGCATTTCGTAGACGATCTTGTCAAGAGGGTCGGTGAGAGCCTGGTGACGTTAGCTAGGAAGTCAATGCATAAAGAGAGGAATTACGAACCTTCATGTTGTCGTTGACATCGGGCCAAGACCAAGCACCAGACCACTGGTTACCCTCAACAAAGATGGTCTGAGTAGCGCCAGCATCACGAATACCGTTGATGGCAGCCTGGTTCAAGTTCAGAACAAGAGTCTGATCCATGGTGTTGTACTCGTTGTTAGTGTCAAAGATGATCTTGCTGTTGCTCTTGAACTGGGCAGCAAAGTTCTTCCACCAGGTCTGGAAGTCAGAGGTAGAAGTGATGATCTTGTTAAAGTAGCGGCCGTAGTTGTGAGGGTCCAGAATAACGTTGGCGCCCTTGCCGGTGATGTGATCCACGATTGTGGTGAGGTTCTTCAGGTAAGCGGTGTCAAAGGGGCCGGTTATGGAGCTGGGGTTTGTGCGTTCCATGCGGAGTTGGACGCGGAAGGTGTTGTAGCCCTGAGAGATGAGGGTCTATGCCATGTCAGTTTTATTCTCACCATCCCAGTCTTTGACTTACATCAACGGCAGCGGGATCAGGGAAGATGAAGTCCTTGCCCCAAGTTCCAGGCAAATTGCCCTCGCCAAACTCACCACCCGCCTCATTAGTACCAACCCAGAGAAACTTTCCATTTCCAGGTGTACCAGTAGGTGTGCTGCCACCGCCAGTAGTGGTCTTGAGGGTAGTGGTAGGCTCCTCAGCAGTGCCGGGGATGCACTGGCTGTACCACTCATTGACGACAGTGCACTTGTAGCCGGAGACGCAGGTCTTTGAGCCAGTCCAGTTGTTTCCACCGCATTGGGCCCAGGCGGCGTTTTGGGCGACCGAAAGGCCGGTGAAGAGGCTGAGAGCGAAGAGGGACTTCATGATGCTGGTTGATCTGAATGCACTTGTCAACTGAGGAGTCTGATGAGTTGAGGGATTCGTAAATCTTTTATATCTGACTTAATGGGGTCAGGAAATTGGATCCTAGCCAGATCGGGAGTATATCTTTCGACGATGTCGGAATTCGTTGCTCGACATCCGTCGAACCATAACTGGCGTCACTAAGATGAACAAACCGTCAATCATCCCGTAAAAAGCCAACTACCGGCCCGCGATCCGTAGCACCCTCCGGAGTTTTCACCCGCCAAGCCTTGGACAGTCCATCGAACAATCATCTTGAGTATCCGGAAGGCTTCTCCATCCGGGAATCGTCACTCAACCGATCCGTAACTGACCACGGAAGACGTGACTCCGCGCTATGGAAATCACGGGCACATGATCAATTTTAAAAGTGCACCTATGTAGTATTAACCAGCGGTAATGTAAGGAGACATGAGCCGTGTTTCTGGGGTCGAGTCGTGGCATTGTGTGGGGATCGGAGGTTGGTCCTCCGAGGCTGTTTTGAGATTGGAGCGATGCTCGGGTCTTCGGAGACAAGGCCCACGGATCCGTCATTGAAGGACTAAATTTAATAACACATTCCGACAAAGGTCCATTGAAGAGAACTTACTGTTGCAGATGGTACTCATTGAAAGTTCACGATCGTTGCATTGTCGATTCCTGCGACATCTTGGAGGGCGATATTCTGAAATCTGCGTCACTTTCCGACTTTCACCTCAATAAAACCTAGGCGTACCCAATTCGGGACTGAAACAAGTCGAGAATTCCTTTGGTTTTCATAATTTGGGATTTATTTCTTTGTTACAATGGAGTAGGGCTTGCCTGTTTCGCCATGTAAATACTCATTGCGAATGCGCCATCAAAGGTGCAATTTCTGACAGCACAATCCGCACCCCCTACACCAGTGATGATTTCAAGATAACGGCCATAACTGCACGTATTTATAGAAAGAAGACACAAGTTGAAAGGATGGTGAAGCATCATCGATAGTATCACCAGGTGAGTCAAAAATAGAGGTGCTAACGCGCCACGCTCAGAGGATGTCTATTATTGGTGGCTAGAAGTCAATCTCTAAATCATTGCTTGTTGACATTACAAATCTAAGCATTGGTCGCGGCGAAGAGAAGCTTATGTCTCAGAAAAACCGACTCTCCGTCTTTTAACCTATCAAATATAGTCAGAAAAGGGACGGTCTACCCCTTTGATATACACATTACCTTTTCTTCTCACCGTGTCACTTGGAGTGCAGCTTTATCAGTAGCTTGGCTTTGTACAATCTATCCGTCTATCGGAAAGAAATTCAATTCAATCAAAACGTATCAATACCACTGTACTTGGAGACAAAACTTAAGTATACCAAAATCGATTTTTATTTCTAGACCTGAGCTCTTGCCGCTGTACGCTGAGTTGGTGCTGAGCTTGGGATGAGATGCCTACAAGAGCCTACTTTTGGGATCGCATGCCCCTGTAAGGCCCTAGATCCGGGACAATGCCCTGCTTATGGCCCCGGTTAGATTTGTCCGCATTAAGGAATCTGGGCCTCTTAGACCCAAAGTTGCGAGATTTGGGCAATATAATCCTAGTTGCTGTTTGGTTCAGCCTTAGCCTTTAAAGGCATCTAATGACTTCTCTACTAATGTGGAAGGCCGGCTAGGGCCAGATTGCATAAATAGGGCTATAGGTTCTGGGTAGCCTCTATCTGGCCTATTTGCTGCTTATTGCTATGCGTTTCTGGCATACATTCTTGAGTAGGGAGGGTGCAAGATAAGAAAAGTCAATCTAGCAAGGTCTGGTGCTGGTGCCTGAACTACTTGTAGGTAAATCACCTAAACTCTTGATCCTCCCAGCCGGTTTCTCGTAGAAATCAACAACTGCCTGATCTCCTCCGTGCTCGCCGTGTCTTCTGGTCTCATATTCTGAATATTTCGCACCTCAACTTCCGCATTGTAGTCTAGCAGAACCTCAACGATGCCAAGGTCTCCATAATAACTGGCAAGGTGAAGAACGGTATTCCCGAGGCTGTCCTTGGCCTCAATGTCAACGCCATGATCTAGGAGCATCTGCAGTTTGCTCCTTGAGACGGCCGGATCCTCATTCTCTCCCACACGCCGTACTCCTGTATTGCGGTCGGCCGGCCAAAAGCGCATCTTGACGGAGCTGCCGTGCCGTATCTGGCCATTCCTCTTTTCCCTAATGTCGTACGTTTGATCTCTAAAGTTGTACCAAGAGTAGCCAACACCTCTCTTCAAAAGAAATACTGCCGTCCATACTTGATAAAAAGAGTAAAACATTGGCGGCAAGCAGCTCATCTCGGGTAATGGGCGGCTCTCGGCGAATACGTGGTGTATCACCGCCATCCCCACAGAGTCCGTGACATTTGGATCCAGGCCTAGCTCCAGACAATAACGTAGTGACTCTCCTTCAGTATGCCTAGCTGATGCGTGTATAATCGTCGATCCATTGTAGTCACGCTGCTCCAGGTCATCGCAATTCTCAAGCAACAGCTTCAGAGGCTCGAGTCCGCCGAATTCTGCTGCAATATGAATGGGCAATCGGCCGTAGATGTCTGGTTTGGTAGTATCAGTATCAAGTTCACTGACTAAGAAAGCTCCAAGGACGTCAACCGATTTGTTAGAAGCTGCATAATGTACCGCGCTGAGCCCTCTAACATCAACCGCGGTCAGGTCAGCACCTTTATTCAGCAAGGCCTCGACATAATCAATCCCAGACTTTGCTGATGCAAGATGAAGTGGAGTGATGCCGAAGTTATTGGCTGCCGTAGGATCCGCACCCAGATGTAGCAAGAACCTCAGTGCGTCATCTTGCTCATTGCAGGCGGCCCAGTGAAGAGGCGACGAGCCGCTAAAGTCGGGGGCAGAGAGTTGTTCCTGACGCAGCCCAGGGTCCTTTTCTAACAGGCCAGCCACGTCCGCCTCACCGCCATACAGGCTGAACCAATGCAGCAAATTCAGGCCCGGCCAGATGAAGGCACGGGAGCTCACCCCAAAGTCGGCAAGGGACTTGACAGTGGTCTTTGAACCCGAGATAACGGCCCAGGACAACACGCTGAGGCCAAACTCGTCGTACTCCAAAGCATCCGCGCCGTTCTCGAGAAGCATCCTCACCACTCTATCGCTCCCAACCTCTGCTGCAGCCCGTAAGGGGTTACTAGAGAGCCCCCCCAGCTTGACAACCTCGGCCCCGTGTTCGATGAGGAGGGCAACGACATCTTCATGGCCTTGATGAGAGGCTGCAAACAAGGCACTCACGAGCTTGCCCCCCGCAGTGTTGATATCGGCCCCCGCGTCAAGCAGAACTTGGACTGCTTCCTTGCTGCCGCCGAATGCCGCCGCCTGCAGCGCGGTATTGAAGGGCCCCCCGATAGAGTTGACCTCTGCCCCGTTTTCAATCAGGAGATTGATCATGCCACAGTGCCCTTCGATGCTTGCAATCTGCAAAGAGCGATCGAGCTGATTGATTGAGTCCTCGAGGTCGACGCTGCCCGAGTTGAGCAGAGTCTGCACCAGATCTTGGAGGTTGTATCTGATAGCCAAGGAGAACAGGGTCGTCTCTATCGCTTCTGGAGTCATCCGCCGAAGAGAAATAGTGTAATAGAGCTGGAGCCAAATCTTAAAAGGGGCCGCGTCCCGGTCTAGGAATCCCAGAATCTCGGCGGTTTGCGGCTGTCCGAGCTGTTCAGCGTGGCTGCAGTGGTCAAGCCAATGGTCAACTGCGTAATTTAGAAACGGGTATCGCTTATTGAACTGGTCGATTTCCCGCTCTAAATCCACTGAAGCCATGTCCAGTGGCGAGATGGACAATGCGGTGATGTCACGCCGGTAGAAGTATTTGACGCAGCTCCTCGCTAGCATGGTGTGGCCCTGTTGGAGCAGCCGATCTGCAGTAAAGGCATCCGGAGTGTCTTTTCGATTCTCCTCATCTGCACTTAAGAGGAACTCTTTGATAGAGTGATGCATAAACTGAACGACTGTTTTGTTCTCCTGGCCCTTATTGACCTCGAGAAGGCCGCCGCATCTGCTGTTGATTATCTTGATCATCATGGTATCTGTCGAAACCAGAGCTTTCGAACTTGTCCTTCTGAGACTTGCTACCGAAGTGTTGCTAACTGACTCCAGCGCGATCTGGACCTCGGTAACTATCAAGGGCCGCTGAGCACAGAGAGCGAGACCAAAAAGTTGGGCGCCAGTTTGCTGATGATCCTCGGGGATGTTGGACAGGATATCCGCGAATAGCCTCGTCAGCCTTGGGGGCGTCTTGGAAATGATGTCAGCAAGGTTCTCCAGTGTGTCCCCGTCATCAAAAGCCGTCGTCAGCCTTGCAATGACCAGTCTTGCCCAAAGGAAAATACCCTCGGCCGCATCGACAATCTTCTTCTTCATGCCATCCAGGAACTCCATTTCTTCTGGCATGGCAAACCGCTGGAGCTCATCTTCAACGAACCGGGCAATGTCCACAGTGTTGCAGGTATCAACAGAGAATCCTGGATAGGACTGCAGTCCCAGGGGAAGCCTCCGGCCAGACAAGCAGGCCTTGACAACCGTCCCTCCAGCGAGGTTGTGCATCTCATCAAACAGCTTGAGGATCTCTACACTGGATGTATCAACGCACTCATCAACCGCATCGACGATAAAGATGACCTTCATGTTGGATAAGTCGTGTCTGAGAAGTGACCACAGCAGCTTCTTTAAGTCCTGCAGATTCCAGTCCAGCTCCGCCTCGAGGTCGGATGCGTCTCCCCACCGAGTCGAGGCCTTGAGCTTCTGCTGAAAGCCAGACCCAACAGTACCTTCCATTCCCGGGGTTTTTTGGATGATTTCGGATATAGCGGTTCGTAATAGGCCTTTGATAGACTTTTGGAGGTACGAGCCTCGGCTGTTGAAGAAGAAAGGAACGGCCACGGTCCGGAATGGTAGGTTCCCCTGAAATTGACTGTATAGGGTCTTCATCAGTGTACTCTTTCCACAGCCGGCTTTGCCAGTTATCCAAAAGATACCACCCCCTTGGTGTAGCCACTGCTCTAGCCCGGTCTCCTCGAGCCAAAGCCACTCGAATGTTCCACAGTGCGGGTCGTCGATAGCGTCCAATCGTTCCTGGGCGTTGGCAAAGCTCAAGCTTTTTAGACAGGCTGAGTTGAATCAGTCAATAGTAATCAATGTAGCGGGCTATGGAATTCTACCTTGCTGAACCTCGTCCAGTTTTCTGACTAGAGTACAGGATGTATCAGCCTAAGATGTACGATCCCTGGGTGACGTCTCGGCACCCATGCTATCCCAAACCCCGCCCACTCCTCTGCCAGGAAGCTCAGTTGGCGCATCCAGACGAGGCAGAGAACGATACGGGGCCAGATGGTCTTGCGTACCTTCATTTGCTCTCTCTGCTTGTACTGTCCTCGACAGGTTTTCGGCCAGTGTCTCCACTACGGTGACGTATATATCATCATCAGGACTGTCATAGCGAACCAACTCCTGGTGCGTCCTCATAAGGCAGATATTGTCTTCACCCGGCAGATGCATGATGGCAGAGTCAAAGTCAACCACCTGAGCCGACCTGTTAGAAGCCACGCCACCGGTCAAGGGAGGCAATACGAACCAGATCCGAAAGCCCTTCTGTCGCCTTTCCTTCGTAAAAGTTGACAACGGATATGTCCCGTTTAATGTCTGAATAATCATCGTTAATGGCAAAAAGCTCCTTTGACCCCGGCTCCAGAACGTTTCTGATCTCAGGCGGGACAGCGTAGCCAGCAACCCTGGCCAAGTGCTCTACCAGAGTCACACGTGCTCGCCCGCCGATGGTACGTGAGCCTCGATGGGGCGTTCCAAAAAAGAAGATCGTGCGAGTAGATTCGTAGATGTGTTGAAAGTTTTCTTTCTTGGAACTCATGATCAAGGCCTACCATGTAGTTTGTAAGCCAGTTCTCTTACCGACGGTCCCGTGACGTAGCGCCCTACCTGCTTCACGACGAGACCCCCAAGGCTATGGCATATAAATAGAAGCGGTCGGTGCCGCTGAGTAAGAGCTATTAGAATGCTGTGGATTTTGTGTTGGGATCGGGCCCGAGACTTCTTACCTGTGGCCCGGGCCGTTTGTTGCGAATCGCAAGGAGAAGGGCTTCGGCGTGCTGGCGTACTCCCAATAAATTGCTATTGCCGACTTCAAAGCGTGCATTGTAGCCAAATGTCATTGCTCGAAGGTTTGGGAGTGAGGAAACAGAGCGCAAGTCGGCAATCCAGAAAAAAGGATTGTCGGGATCTTCTCTGCCTGTCCATGTATTGGCCGCATGGCCATTTAGACCGTGAACGAATACCACACTTTTATCATGAGTTGGATTCACGCATATGAGAGAAGTACTAATTCTGGACTTTGGAAACTCACTCGGCAATATCGTTCGGAGATTCAGAGACTATGCTGAGGCCTTCGCTCCGAATCCTAGGATTGGGTGAATTCATGATAAGTGCCAGCCCTGCCAGCAACTTGGCGACTCTCCACAGGTAAGGGCCAAAGTGATATGGCTTCCTCGTTTATCCAGTGTCTCGCAACGGACAGGAGGATATCGACCGGAGCCGCCTCTTTATGGCCATGGAAATTAGCGCATCATGGGCTGAGTGGGAGTGCATGTGCACTCACCCTCGAGGCGCGCACCAAAAGTGCCTATGAACAGGGACTACCCACCTAGAAAAATGAGGCCACCGGAGCTTGGCCAAGAATGATGGCTGGGCTTCAACACCTTGCTGCAAGTCGTTTCGTGGCAGAGCTGAAAGACACTGTGGCCGGGCGTCGACGCAACCTCTTCAGCATTTATGTACCTCGATAATGCCTCTGATTGGTTCCAAATGGCATGGGTGTGCATCTGCTGACATGTCAAAGTGCAAATTGAAGCCGGGTCCGAGTGAGGGGGAGTCTTGGCCATATCGCAGCCTGATCTGGTATCTTGGCCTGTGTCAGTTTATAGGTCGGTGTATTCGTACGATCCCCATGTATCATCTTTACCCGATTATTTCATCTAGCTCTCTCAAGGTCAGCTTCAATCCACCAACAAACTGGCCAATTAGGCAACATTGCCGTATCCTCTTGCCCCCCTTGGCCCCAAATCGCTGTCATATCCAACCAGTTGGACATATCGTTAGATGTAAAGCTACCTGCTCCTTCTTGAGGCCACTGTACTTTGTGGACGCATTAGAAGTTAGGATCATTAGGCAGCAGTAATGGCAAGCGAGGGTAAGCGCTCGCTGAGATGTCCACCTGGGATCTACTAACCACAAGACAATCGTAGGACACCAGTTTAGGAAGTTGAAGGTCCCAAAGCTTCACAGGAAATATGGCATGAACATTGAGGCAAAGACCTTCTACGAGTCTAGGAATATGTTTGACGACGACAAGTTCACCTGGGTGGAACATGCGCCGACCATGCTTCCCGAAGCCTCCCGCCACAGGTTCGACAGCGCTGCTATCCATATCTACAAGAAGTGCGCAGACGAGAAGACCTTCAATAACGTGTCCATGTATGACACATCGTTCATCAAGATCCAGAGTCCGATCATCCTCGAGAAGCTCCGAGACATCATGAAGGATATGGACGTGTATTTTGGCGAGATGAGCGTTGAAATCCAGAAACCCTTCCAGCCGCTATACTTTGCCTGGGATCAAATAAAGCTCCTATACCAGAGCTCGGCCGACGACGTCGACACTGAGGTCCATGATCATATTGGCGTCTTGTACGACTTCATGACCACTGAGATGAAGGGCACCCACGATCGCATCCTGTCGCTCCATCGGGAAGGCCGCATCACGTTTGACCTGGTGTGGACGCTTTTCCCAAAGGGCGTGTTTGTGTTGTCTTTCCGGAATGGCTACCGACAGGCAATGCGAGTCCTGTCGTGTGCTCGAAGGGACCGCAACGACCCCTGGTACATCAGATGCGAGTACGTCCAATACAACGGATACGAGTACGGGCTTTCCGAGCGGTACTTTTCTGTCCGGCACTTCTTTGACACTAAGCCCATCACATCGCTCGACATCTATCCTTGGAAGTATGTTCACGACAGTTCGTTGAAGCAGGCCCTGATTGATAGAGGGCGAGATGTTCTCGATTATCAATCAAAGCACTATCTTCAGTATGCGGGACTCGCACTCGACCCCTTCTCTCACGCTGTCTCAGACAGGTACGAGCCACGGGATACCTTTCCAGGACGTAGCGGGGACGTGACCAGCATATCTATTACTAAATTCAATGTAAATACTGGTCGTAGCTTCTCCCTGACTGTCTACTGCTAACCACCCCACACAGATCAAAGGCCGAATCATGGTTGATGCCTATCTGTTTGCGCGGTCTCACGAAGGCCTGAGGAAAGACATTAGATCCTTTCGAAACAAAGATCCGCATAAGGATCAGACTGCAGTCCCGGGCACAAAAAATCTGACCAAGAACCATGAAGATAAGAGTGCTAAAGACCGCGCGAGGGCAACCGCTGAGAGCCACGCTTATCACATACGGGCACGGCCTGACGATGACCAGATCCGAGCGAATCGCAAAGAGGTTGAAAGAAACGACGACTACCTCTTGTGCATGTCTCCCCTGCTAGATGGCTTCTCGTTCAGCGATAAAAAGTGGTGTAAGTCAAACATCAGATCCCATTTACACGGCGTTTGGTCACTTATCCTCATTCAAGTCCACTTTCTTGTCGAATGCATCAAACCAGTGGCATTCCAGCTAAAGGCATTTGACCACCTGGTAATGCCCGCTAGACAGAAGGAATTACTTCTCGCCTTTGCGAAAGATCAAGACGAAAAGGTTCGCGAGCTTGATGATGTCGTCGTTGGGAAAGGCATGTTACCTTCTCAGGGATCCATCTGATGATCCGGTGCTAATAGAGACTGCAGGGCAAGGATTGCTAGTCCTCTTGAGCGGCCCTCCTGGAACTGGCAAAACCTTGACCGCGGAAGCCAGTAAGTTTGCATTTTCCTCCCTGAAATACTTGATGGCCATCGTCTTAACTCGTCAAGTTTCCGAGCGCGTCAAGAGGCCTCTCTATCATGTCGACACTCACGAGATCGGGTCAGCCGTCGAAACGCTGAGCCTCCGACTACGTCAAATAATGAACATGGCAGCTGAGTGGAATGCCATTGTGCTTCTAGACGGTCAGTAAACAGAGCCCGTAAAATCTATCAAACTGACAGTGTCCCCCAGAGGCCGATGTTTTTCTCCAAAAGCGATCGATGGACCACTCACAAAGAAACGAGTCTATTGCAGGTATGCTGTCGCCGTTACTAAAGTGTATGGCTATAGGGCATCTAACGACTTGACAGTCTTTCTTAGAGAGCTTGAGTACTACCGAGGTTGGTCGCCCTTACTCGAATCCCTGCCCCCTTTGATTAACACGTTTGCCAGGTACCATGTTTCTCACCACGAATCTCGTTGACGCCATTGACGAGGCCATGGAGTCCCGCGTGCACGTCCACGTAAAGTTCCAGAGGCTCCCACCCGTGTCACGCCAGACCATCTGGACAAACTTCCTGGCAGAGATGCCTGTCTACGGGTCCACAGTGTCCGAGGCCGAGATCAAGGAGCTAGCAGCCTGGACGTTGAACGGTCGCCAGATCAAGAATGTCATACACATGGCCATCAAGTGGTGTGCCCAGAATAAACTGCCGCTGGATTTTGTCAGTGTGGAGCACGTTATACGATTGACTTGCCCTGGTGCAACAAAGTCGGAGCCTCTGTCGGAGGTGAATGGGGGTGAGCAGAGGTTAGTCAGGACGTTGAGCGGTATGGAAAGACACGGTTTGGTAGATACGGCAGTTCCAATTCGCTAATTAATTGAGAAGACCTTTGATTCATTTTTCGTTATCGGGGGTACCAAAGTTACCAATGGGTTCTCGTCTTGTCCCCCCCCGCCAGAATTGATGGCCATTCTCATGCAAGGCCTTTGATACGCTTCTGTACTCTGTCTTCTTCTATAGCTGCCATCAGCTTTTTCGGGCTAGAAATGGGATCAAGAGCGAACGATGGGCTCTGCTCAGCCACAGGGGTGATCAGAGCTGATGGGGGCTGATGAATAGCTAAGTTTAAGCTAAGCTGGCCAGCAAAAGGCTTTAAAAGCGGTGTTCTGTGATAGGGCACGTTTCGCCTGAGTTTCGCCTCATGATACCAACAACGCCATATCCTACAAAGTTCTTGAACCCATCCTATTACCTGAACTGTCCAAACCAAATACTATCATCCGGCCTCATGCCCTTCATAACACCCTCCCTACTACACATCCCCCTCTCCTCATCACCAACCTTCCAACCCTTCATGACCTCCGGCCTCACCAACACCTGCATCAACATTCCAGACTCAGCATGCCAAGTATTATGACAGTGAAATGCCCATAAACCCGGATTATCTAGTACAACTCGAATAACAGCCCAAGCATATCCCTCGACTGTAAGTGTATCTCTCCGTAGTGGGTTTTCCAATAAGCCGTGTGATTCTAGGTACTCTGGTAGATCTGCTGCGCTGGGCGGATAGCCATCTCGGCCTTGTAGGAGGACGAAGAATTTATGGCCGTGGAGATGGAAGGGATGAGCCCCATCGTCGAAGTTGTTGATAGAGATGTCTATTGTTCGAATGCCAGTTGTTTCCAACACAAATTCCTTTTGGCGTTCAAACACCTTCTCATTGATGGCGATGGGATTCTTGGCGGACGTACTCTGTAATCCACTGTCGAGGAATCGATGTAAAGAGGGATGCGTTGCGTTAGCGTGCCAAGTCGATTCATTGAAGAACCCCCTTGCCAAACGCCAATCTCCTATCTCAAAATTCGCGCGAAGAACGATGACCTCGTCTGCTGGAGGCGGCGATACGACTTCAACAGGTCGAAGGGCGGTGGTGTTTAGATCTCGACAGATGACCTCAATCGCATCAGGCCATTCCTTGCTCGTTGGCTCTTCAGAAGCCGTCTTCTCTTCCTTGCCAGTATACCGGACTATGGCCCTCGTTTCAGACTGAAGACTTTCATTCTTGTTCTTGAAGCAGTGCGTCACCATCCTAGCCCTCATCCAGAACGTCGCAGCTGTTGTGACGTTTGTCTCAAGCACGACGCTATACCGCTGTGCGGGAAGGACGTTTACTCGATGAATTGGTTCAGGATGAACGTCTGTGCCATCGACTTCAGTGACGTAGAATGGGTGCTCGTCGAATTGGATCTGAAACTCTGCAAAGGCGCCGACGTTAATGATGCGCAGTCTATGACGCTTCCCAGCTTCAAGATCTATCGTCGGTATCGCGACGTCCGTAGTGTTACACGCCCAACCCTTAAAGTTCTCACAATCGCGAACATTCCGCCCATTGATAAGACCGTTATCTGGTACCGGCTCGTTGTTTTCCTGATCTGGAGCAAGATACTCCATCAAAAGCTCTGATGTCAAGTTATGGTAGTGATCCTGAACCATAACAACTCTATCAGTCGCGTAATCCACCTTCTGCAGGTCTTTTTCCTTCTTGGCGTGAACAATCATCGGCCCAAGCAATCCATCGGACGCTTGTGCGCTATGATGCGCATGATACCAATACGTGCCGTGCTGGCCCTTGACATCAAATTTATAAGTAAAGTTTGAGTTTGGCGCGATGGCGCACTGAGTAATGCCAACTGTTCCATCCATATTATTCGTGCCGTTCTGAAACATGCCGTGGAAATGAATCGCAGTCGCGTTGACAGCTTTGTTTTCAACATGGACGATAATGGTATCGCCTTCGTTGCACTCAACGAGAGGTCCAGGATATTGATTGTTGATGAGAATCATTGGTCTGAAGACGCCATCGGGATTGAGAACGGCGTCGTTGATGGTCCAGAAATATTCTCTTGTTGCTGGAGGGGAGTTGACGTCCCACGATGAGGAGAGAATATATTCTTTTGTATCGCGGAGTTGAGGTGTTGAAGGAATTGGTTCTTGGTGTTTGATTGTCTCTGGCGTTGGAGCTGGTTTGCTTGGCTGAGGTGGTTTTGGATGTGTTTCTTTGTGGGTTGAGGACTTGGCCTGGAGGTTGAGAGTGACTGCAGCCACGAGGAGAATTGAAATGAGACCAGCGACTGCGACGAATATCGTCAAGCCCTTGCCTTTTGGTGTTTTGGTCCTCGACGAAGCTTTCCCGACCGCTTGCTCTGACTTCAAAGCAGCCTCATCACCAAGGAACCACGTCCCCTCACCATCTCTCTCATCCTCCTTCACCCAAGGCGACTTGATCTCATCCATATTTCACACTGAAGAAACTGAGAAAAAAGCCCACGTTGTCATGTCGTTCGTTCAAAAGAACAAACTCGAGCTCCAAGATGAACCCTCAATGCATACTCCACCCACCCAAGCAGGGATCATCTTAGCGTGACGTTAAACCCGAGGAACCGGAAGAGTCGGCACGCGAGCAGAACCCTTCTCAACCCCCAGACACACTCACACGTGCCCTGCCTATGCAGTCCATTGGCGTTACATTCTCCTGAGAGCTATTACAAAAGTTCAACATGATTTACACCAACGACGTTGCGTTGACCGACGGTGGGGAAACGCACGGCACGATATCCGTGCAGTTTGATCTGCATTCCTATATGAAACCCAATCACGCTGCTGCCAATTGAGCGTCGATCTCTAGCTCAAGTTCAAGTTTGTGTTTGAATTCAATCGTTATGCTCTTCCAAACTGCTACCCTCTTGGCCGTTGCTGGCCTGGCCCTCGGCCACTCTTATGAGCCTCCCAAGGAGCATAAGCAGCACAAGCATGAGACTGGCTGGGAGACTAGCTACACTGCCACCGGCACCGCTGAAGTCGCTGCTGCTGCTGCGACTGCCAAGACCAGCAGTCCCACTTCCAAGGTGAAGGGCAAGGCATTTGATCGCATTGCCATTATTTACTTTGAGAATGAGAACTACGAGAAGGCTTTCGGTGACCGTAAGTTTCCCCTTCATCAATTGATCACAGGATGAAAACTAATTGGGCCAGCCAACTTCACTTGGCTCCGCAAGAAGGGTATCACTCTCGAGAACTACTTCGGAGTGACCCATCCCTCTGAACCAAACTACATGGCCGCCATTGCTGGTGATTACTTTGGCATGCAGAATGACGACTTCAACCGCAACCCGCGCAACGTCTCTACTGTGATTGATCTACTCGAGCACCGCGGCATCTCCTGGGGTCTGTACCAAGAAGACATGCCTTACTCTGGCTTCGAGGGCTTCTCCTGGGTGAACCACCAGAACGGCAAGAATGACTACGTTCGCAAGCACAACCCCGCTGTTCTCCACGACAGCATCGCTACCTCTGAGCAGCGTCTTTCTCAGATCAAGAACCTCTCGCTCGTCGACACTGAGAAGTCTGTCTTCCACAAGGATCTCAAGGAGAACAAGCTTCCTCAGTGGATGTTCATCACCCCCAACATGACTTCTGACGGACACGACACTTCCGTTACTGTTGCTGGTCAGTGGGCTCGTACTTTCCTCGAACCCCTTCTCGAGGACAAGCACTTTATGCAAAACACTCTTGTTCTTGTTACTTGGGATGAGAACGAGACCTACGCTCGTCAGAACCACATTCTCGGCATCCTTCTCGGCGACGCAGTCCCCAAGCATCTCGTCGGAACCAGTGACAACAGCTTCTACAACCACTACTCTGAGATCGCCACCGTCTCCGCGAACTGGGGTCTCGATACCCTTGGTCGCTGGGACGTGGGCGCCAACGTGTTCAAGCTGGTTGCGCAAAAGACGGGCGACAAGATCCGAAAGTGGAAGTCTCACAAGCTGGACAGCTACTTCTGGAACGCCTCGTATGCCGGTCCTTTCAACACCAACGGTGGAAACAAGGAGTATGTTGCGCCCAACTTGGATCTCGAGCATAGTTTCTCTGGACGCAAGATCTTTGAGCCTATTCGTAAGGAGTGGAAGAAGAGCAAGAATCCTACCTACTACAAGGATACTATTGAGGTTAACGATGGACTTAACCCCCCTAAGGGTTATGAGCCTGCCAAGTCTACCTAGATTTCTGTATAGATACTCGGTGTAATCAGGACAATGTAAATAATATCAATTCTATGATATCAGTCTAAATAGAATAAATAGCCAATTACACTAAGTCCTAGCCTCTGAAATCCTTAGCTAAGTCCTCTGTACTGATTTAAGCTATCAGCCACAGGTCGCTACCGATTTCTCACAATGTTCCAATGAATTCGTGGTTCAATTGCCAAGCACATGCCAGATCACCAAGTCAACGGGCCGAACGATCCATCCACTAGCCTTTGTTGCTTCAGGGATCTTTTGCACTAGGACACCATCTCCCAGGGGCAGGCGAATCAAATAGCGCACTTTGGTCAGCGGTCGCTAGCGCGTGGCCGACCTGTAAGATGGCGGCGTTGTACCATGTGCGATGCAGATCACTTCGCTTGCGGGACTGTTTTGTGCTGCGGTCGGCAATATCATGCCGTGAGCTATCCTGTCTTGTCACCGATGAGATGCATCATGGGATGGAATAGGAAGGCACGTGGGAGGTATCAAGGACTTCTGATTCTGCGCTTTTGAGACTTTCTTCCTTCTTACATCCTCGTTTGTAACCTCGAGGTTTGGAGATAAGCAACATTGTTCAAAATGAAGTCATCACAGAGTCCAGCATTCAAACGCTTTCTATCCGACTTTACGCTCGGTTTCTCAGATGGACTTACAGTACCTTTTGCCCTGACGGCTGGGCTCAGCTCGCTTGGAAAGACGGATACTGTCATCACTGGCGGATTGGCAGAGTTATGCGCTGGCAGCATCAGTATGGGAATTGGAGGATATCTCGCAGCACGAGACGAATGCGCACCTTGCGAACCCAAGAACAACGACTTGGAGAATTTAAGGGAGAGCTACGAAAGGAATAGCGAAAGCGACTGCATGGTTGAACAATCCGAGAAGATGCAGATGCAAGCGGAGGAGCTGGTGCGACAACACCTCGAGCCTTTGGACCTCCCGAGTTCAACAGTCACGACAATCCTCAATACAATTCAACAAGAGCCCTCAGATCTCCAACGCGTGATCTCACGCTTAAGCTCGCTAAAAGAAGACGCATCGCCGTCACAACCAACGCCTCCGACGCCGATCATATCTGGCCTCTCGATATCGCTAGGCTACACCATCGGCGGCATCATTCCCTTATTTCCCTACTTCTTCACCAACACAGTCGGCCTCGGTCTTCAATGGAGCTCTTGCCTTTGTCTCTTGGTATTATTTGCTTTTGGAGCTGGGAAGAGCTACATCCTACAAACGGGAGATGCATCAATGCGTTCGTGGATGATCGAAGGATTTCAAATGTTGATCCTTGGTGCTTTAGCTGCAATAGCGGCTGTTGCGTGTGTCACTTGGGTTGGAGCAAATTGATGGGTGCCTGGTTATTGAGAGTTCAGGCAGAAGCACTCACGCAGACGTGGACGAATGAGGGGCCGAGCATATGGACTAACTTTGGAATCGACGCCGTTCAAAAAGCACAAGAGACAGTTTTACTACATACTAGCGAAAGTGTAGTAACCAATAACAACCAAATGACCCATGTTACTTTCAAAATGCAGAACTTAATCTATCATGACTTCTAAATCCACTTTTCCTTCTCAGAGTACCAACTCGATGAGATACGACTTCTTCGTGGGGTATCTTCCCACTCAGGACCCCAAACAAAGTAAACAAACTGATACTTCGTCCTCGCTCTCTCCTCCATAAATAGTAAGATATGCTGGTGGAGGAACCATATTGGCGTGAATCCTGTTGTCAGCGCGTGCCTCTCGTCAATGTTGAAGTGAACTTGAGAGCCTTTTCCTCTGCTCCATCCTCGAATTCCTCGATAGCCACCTGTGACTCTGGCTGGCTTGTGTCTTTAATGGGTGCGAATAGTTCCAGATGGGAACCCTTCTGTGTCACCGGGCTTCGTTTTGGACAGGCCAGAGATGGCACGTGGAAGTCCACCGTGGAATCTTCCATGTGATCCTGGGACTTTCCATTTGACTTATACCTGGCCCCTCTGCTAGTGCCTCATCCTTTATAAGCTCTGGCCTCATGATTCATCAAAGCATAAGTAGGCCGACTTGATCCAGCATTCTACCCCTCTTTCCAGCTGCTCCTCTGGTTACCATTTCCAAAACCGTAAGTCTGCCCGCCACAATACACAGGTTCTGTTTCTCCCAGCCTTCAAGTAAAAAAACCAGAGAAAGGGAATAAGTCACCAGCCTTTTCGATAGGACAACCAGACTTTTCTCCAGGTTCATACTGGTCTCCACCCACAAAGAGGCCGTCAACATGGGTTGCGGCATCAAAGAAAGCATTTTGGCCAGATGAAGCCGATGCCCTCTGATCAGCCAGAGTACCAAGTCCGGGAAGTTCCGCGGTGAAGGCACCATCCGAAGTCAGGGGATTAAGAAACATCCACGACCCGGAAAAACTCGGAGAGCCGGAAGATTGGGCATCTCTGTTGGCCGCTGGCGTGGGCTGAACAACCTCAACCTGCTCAGGGATAAGGGATAAGCCCGTCCCAAGAAACCGTCTCCTGAACCTCTTCGTTAGGTGGAAAGAGGTCGGGGGATGGGATAGAGGGAGCAGGACGGACAAAATCCTCAGCTGCCATGGCACTTTCTTGGAGACTTTGGAGCGTCCTGGTGTCCACTTGATCAACCTGAGCTATCATGTCAACTTGAGGAAACCCCGTCACCGGGTTGTTGACTGAAGAGTTCGGTGCCATAGCACCGAACTGGTTGACCAAGACAGGCTGGGAAACTGGGGCAGAGGAGGCATGGCGGAACTGACGGAGAGAAGGGTGACCAAGGGTGGGCATGGGATTGTGGAAACCAAAGTAAAGAGGGTTACTAATGGTACCAGAGCCCAGTGAGGGAGTAGGAGGATTTGGAGGGTTTGGGATGTCCATCCCAAACCCCATATCCGAGAAAATTTCTACTCCAAAGGAAAAAACAGGGGCAGCATTGCCATGAGCAGTGACAGGGAAATTGAGGGTAGGAGGGGCAGAAACAGGAACAGAATCAGCGGGAGCAGGAAGGACGGGCCATTGAGACGCGCCAGGATTCACTGGCTGCTCCAAGGAATGCGTGACGGGTCCAGGTAAACCAGAAGGAAGGCGATTCGGAGGGAAAGTATAACGCCGGGCAACAGAAGGGGCAGGAGCATGAGGGCCTGCAAGGCTCCCCAGATTCTGGTACCCCTGGACGGGAACCTGCAGGTTCCGAGCTACAAAGCCCCCAAGCGCAGGTTCAGAAGCCGTGCGTGGAAGATCATAGACGTGAAAGGCTGCAGCTTGATCCTCCTGCAGCTTGTCCACCGTGCGTCTCCTCTTCTGTCCCCGTTGCTCAGCGACCCTGACTGGGTTAGTCTTGGCACCGGCTGGACGACCAGCTCGGGGGACCGCCTTCACTTCATCTGCAAAGTTTATTAGCGACGATTCGGTTGTGGTTTGGGGAGGGCGCGTGCTTACCTTGGTGGCCTGGGGCGTCAACACATGCTGTTGTTCGGTGCCCCACACGGCACTTGGAACAGGCAATCTTCTGTCCTTGCTCGTTGGTTCTCATTGTAGCTGGAGATATGTTGTATGTAAGAATGTTGAGGTAGGAAGGAGTATAACCTTTTGGTTTATTGTAGTGTTAGGTGTGAGTCGTCGAAAGTTAGGCTTGGTTGTTTGATATGATTACCTGAAATGAATGAGGAGAGGAAGACAGAGAAGGAAATGTGGGATTTTATAGAGCCGAAGAGAAGTCAAGTTTGCAGGCATGAGATGTTAAAGATTGCAGAATGAAAGCTTGTTAAATCATGGCTTTACTCCGACGAATGAAGGCATGGGTACCAGTGCAAGTTGGTGTGACATTAAGAGGCGAAAACACAAATCTCCTATCAAAACACCATCATCCTGGGCATGTGCACAGTCTTTCATCCGGCCTTTGAGTCTGTGGAAGAGTAACATGTAGAGTCGCACAGTGTGCACATAGAAGGCATGCCTTGATTCGTCAAGCGGGGATGTACATTGTGCTGTTCTCTCTTGGCAGAGGCATTGCTGAAAGCATCTTGATGAGAAGGTTGAAGGGGCAAATGCAGGACGAAAGTTACCACACACACACATGTAAGGAAACCGTGCACAATTCTTTTACTACTTCATCCTCCCCTGGATCTCCCCTTTCATCCCCTTATTTGATAAGTCTACTCGCATGAAAATCTCCTCTGTCGTAGGAGCTGTTTGGATCCCATAAGTGATATGGTTATTTTAGATTGAAATGGCTAGCTACGTCGTATATCTGTGAACTTCCTTGCCTATGATGGTACGAAGGACTTACCTGAGATGACATTGCCCGACCAGGGGAACTATATCAGAGTTAACATTGGCACTAGTTGATCTAACTCTCAAATCAGTGGCAGACCGTGAAAAGCTTATGCCAAACTTTTGTGCCAGTGGTTTCGGACTGTGGCCCCTTATAAGGTTGAATGCCTCATGTACAGGTCTCAGGCAATCTATCCCTACTACAAGTGACTTTGTTTTTGCTTTGGATGCGAATTTTCGATCTTCGTGAAGCTTTGGTGCGGCTCGGCCTTTCTTGTATTGGGCCTTCACTTGTTTTCATAGTGGCGAACGCAATTTCAAAAGAGAGATTCCGGAACAGGATCAGGGAGGGACCGACGAAGGCTCAGCTGGAACAGGTTTCGATTTGACGGTTCCCAAAGTGCCTGGGGATACATGGACCATGCTCTCATCGACTTCAAGGGACTCGGGTACCTCTGCAAAACACAGAATGTCAGGGGATGTACTGACTAAGATCATTTTCTTTTGAACTAAGATGTATCCCATCCTCAGGATATTGAAAATGGCAAGGGTCTCATACAGACCATCGATGACTTGGCTATGTTAAGAGAATATTGGTTCCCGAGGCGACCACTACGCTCTACTCGTTCAGCCATCCTGAAGCTGCTCTGGCTTTCTCCCCTGCCCAATCATAATCGTTGACTTCTGTACTATGCTTTGCTTCTTATCCAAGGATTACTAGTCTCATGGGCACTCGATTGTGAACCCTAGAAGCAACACATGTTTGCTGTGTCCCTCGAAAGACGGCTTGAGGAGGGCCCTACCCTGTTCCATCACACCAGCATTTTACCTTCGCTAGCGCCAACCCAAAAGGAGGAACCACGTGTGAGGATCATTTCCCTTCTATCATGCTCAGTCCTATTGGCTTCTGATGCCCACACACTCCATGTCATGATTTAATCTCGACTCGCACATCTAGGCCCCCAGCTGCTCAACACGACTCACACTGAGGAGTGCCATCACATTCAAGTCTTCATATGAAATGAGTGTTGGAAGCTTTCTTCTTGTTAGCAAGCCGATATCACTTTGAAGTTATGTTGGCTCATGATATGAGGACTCAGGGTGCAGTCCGGTTTGGGCTGTAGTTGCCTGGGAAAAACTCAATCGGACAGGTTCAAACTTAGACGGAGGGCCCACGCATATCGTCCAAGCAAAGATGAGGCAGAAATTTGGTTTACATATATCGACTGCCTAAAGTATAAATATTAAGCTTAGTCCTGTGCAATACGAGACTCGTCGTCTCCATCCCAAGCCCTCACTATTGATGGTCATACAAGAACTGTGCCAAGAGAGTTATTCCGAGCCGGAACCTCACATGATGAGGGCAGCAGCGACACCGGCCAGAGACAAAGCACCAAACGCACGCGTGAAAGAAGACGAAGCACCAGATGTGTTAACGGGTGTAGCAGCACCAGAAGTCTCAGATCCACTAGCATCGCTTCCCGAAGCCTTAGTCTTGGTGGCGTCGCTAGCAGTTGCAGTGGCGCTCGCGTGTTTAGCGTTGAGCAGATCCTGACCAGCAGTGATAGAAACAGCACCGTAGTCGAATGTTCTAAACCCATAATCCTCGAGATCATCAGTGTTGGTCAGAGTCGCGGTAGGGTGGCCATCGTCGTTGCCGCCAATGTTGACGGTAGTGCACTTCTGCGCGACGGTACGCGACATCTCGCAGTGGACGGAGAATTTCCAGTCATCCTCTGCGTCGCCGGGCATGGTGATGAAGAGATCAAAGTCGCCTGTGCTGGCGGCACCAGGAGGGAGGGTCTTGCTCATGTACGGTCCGATGATGTAGGTGTTGTTGTAGACACCGCAGTCGTCCATGGTATGGAACTCCTCGCTCTCGGGGTCAACGTACGGGCAGTTCAGAACGTATGTTGTATGATCCGCGTCTGCGCCGAGGACTTCAGCGACGAGAGTCTGAGACGAGCCAGCCCCGGCGAAGATGGGGAGAGAGGTTACGAGAGCAGAAGACATGTTGAATATTGATAGCGAGTGTATGAAGTGAAAGTATTTTGTGGCTGAAAATGAGCGAATGAATGAACGTGAGATGTTGAAGAAGGGAAAATCACAGCGGGAAATTGGGAAAGGAGAGGGAACAGAATGGGAATAGCGATATGGACTAGCCAGGCAGAAATCCAATCCTTCAGTGGATTAACCTCAATGGAGCTAGGCTCCCCGTAGCGAGATTTACAGGGCATCCACTAGAGACTGCCAATGAAAGGGTCCAGATTTGATCAACGCCGGGGATGATGCCCCGTAAGGCAGCGCATGAAATGGTGAGTGTTTCACTATTGATAGGAAAAGAGTTTGGTGTTTGAACGCTGGACCCAATGGACTTACACCGACATGGCTGCTGATAAACCTTCAACCCCATCAGCGGCCATCTTTTGGGGACACAAAGTTCAGGAACGATCCGTCGAGTTCGTTGTAATTTAAAAAAGGATGTTTAAGAAGGTAATATGCGTAGAAACAAAGAACCACGGTCGCTGAGGTTTCTCAGTATGAAGGAAACTTCAGTAACGAGAAGGCGCCATAAGCTTATCTAGACGGGGGAAATGAAGTGCGTTTAGATAAGAGAAAATGGGGCTTGGGGAAAAGAGCAGATCCAAGCTTTTAGCGACCTGCGAATCGCGACCATTCTGACAGCGCGAGATGGGATCACAAACATAAACTGAATTTTGAGACATGCTTTTATCAAACTTGATCGGTCTGGTGGTCTAGTGGTATGATTCTCGCTTAGGGAAAACCCTACAGCTTAGCTTGCGAGAGGTCCCGGGTTCAATCCCCGGCCAGACCCTGTTCTTTTGCTATTTCCTCGAATGGATCGCTCGCTAATTTTTGCTTGAGTGAGTGAATCTCGCTCTACATCGACCCGTACACAATGTTCTTCTTCAGTTGGCTTAGAATGTCTGAATTTGGGTCTTTAAGCAGAGACCGTCTAACTACTGCCAAGTCTGTTAAGATCGGCATGTCTGATCCAGCTCGCTATCTGGAATTGGTTAAGAATTTGGCAAAGGGTGGGATGAAGTCACTGTCCAGATAGACATTCATTACAGTCTAGCATCATTGTTGAAGATGAACATGTAATTGCTTGCCGTAGCATGTCAGCCTTTAATACTGAGTTGAAGAATTTGTTGGTTGGCGGCTCTTTACCGTTTGCTTCATCACCTTCGCGGCTTGTTCCTCCCCTCCAACATCTCCAATAGCTTCACATATTCCTGCTGATCCTCGCCCTCCTCAAAGTACTTAACGTTATCATCCGACAAGTCCACGATCCAACCATACTTGTAATCAACCCTTGCATATCTCCACACCACTAAACTTTTATCCTCTTCCATCATCTTTCGAATCCTTGCAGCCGCGACAGACTCTTCACTAGTCTCATCCTCCTCACTACTACCCTCCTGCCATAGAAGCGGAGGTGTTTTGCTTTGTACGACGGTCACTTTGAAAAGCCGCATATTACTCTCCCGGATGGCTCTCCACAGATCTGCCCAAGACACGGGTTCCAGGTCCCAATCAGGTCCGTACTCCGGTTCAGGCCCATCGCACATACAGTCATGTAGCTCAAGCTCTTCAAAAGAATCGACTCGGCTCGTGAGAAACTCTACCAGATCAGGCCCGATCATGATATTCTTGAGCATGAGTGAGCGGAGGAAGGGGAGGTGGTCTTCCCTCAAGGGCAGACGGATGCAGTAGTTGGCAGATGCCCCTCCAAAGAGACCATCAGGGCTGGCTTCGAGTGTCAGATGCCTGACATTTCGCGCATGCCTCATGAGGAAATGGGGCAAACTCCCGATAAACTCTATGAACCCGAGATTGGTGTGCAGCAAATCGTCGTCGCCGCCTAAGACACCAATCTCTAAAACCTGCAGCCTTCCCAGGAAAGACGCCCACTCTAACGTTTCCCATGCGGAAACGTTCCTGGGAATGAGGTTTTCGATCTTGAGGTTCGTAATATTTAGGTTCATTGAAATAGCTCGCATGAACTCGTTGTATTGAGCACGCCATATCATATCGTGCTCTTGTTGCAGTGTCTGATCCCAGTTCTCCCCATTGTGAAAAATGTTGCCAGGCAAGTTCGGATCTGACCAAGGAGCGGTTTTACCCCACCAGCCGCGGTCCTTAAATTGTGCCCCATTGAACTCGATGGCGAAAGAATTGACATTGCTGAGAATGTCGCCCTGCGTGATTTTTTTGAGTGTGTCCGTTGGAGCTACC